TAACCGATTGATAGAGGAGAGTCACCGTCTACGCCTCCGCCTCCGTCTCCGTCTCCTGCTGCTTGAGATGTTTTCTTTTTCTAACCATTTTCTTTGTGTCTTTTTCTTCTTCTTTGCTTTGTGTGCGTGTGTCTGTGTTTGTGTGCTGGAAAAAAATGTGAGCAAATAGTTTTCCGCTTGCCGCCGCATACAATACAATAGGAATGGGTGGGTGGGTTGGGGCGAGAACGAGGCATTCTTTATCAATTTTATCTGTGAAATATATTTCCGAAACATTTGCCATTATATTTGCATTAGTAGCCACAGCTTCCGGACCGGGTGCTGCCCCCTTTCCAACCCCCCTCTCACGCCATCTATAACCCACGTTTAACCCATGGGTGTGTGCTCCTGGCATTCCAGGAATTCTCGGGACACGCCAGCTCGACGCCAATGAAAAGGAACCAGGCAAAACGGCAACCAGGGGAACTAGGGTGTACAACGACTAGGCATTCAAAGAACTATACATACACACTTGTATGTGTGTGTATGTATGTGTATATTCGTGTTATATATTTGCCTGGCATTGCTCTCGGCTTTGGTCTTGGTTTTTGGTCTATTCCCAGGCGGAAACTGCTTATCACACATTTCCACAAACCAAATACAATACAGGAATCCCCCCCACAATATACTGCGGAGTGTGGAGTGCCACTGGGTATGCAGGGGCGAAAGTGGGGGCGGGGTTGGGTTGGGTAAAGTAATAGCCAAAGCGCACAAAGAATGATGCGTAGACATGATTTCCGTGCGGTTGATTCTCTCTCCTCTTTGCTCTCACTCTCTCTCTCTCTCTCTCTCTCTCTCTCTCTCTCTCTCTCTCTCCCTCTCTCTGTCTCTCTATCGGTGCTTTCCCTACTGCACACTGCTTCAGCGGAAATTGTTAACCGCAAAAATTTCCATAAATCTTTAACGACATGGGGTGGCAGCCCTGTACGGATTTTTTTTTTTTTGGTACATCTTTTTTGATCGCTTGAGATATTTATTTATTGCAGCTTCCATTGGATTTCCCAGGGTTCGAGGGTTTTTTTTCTTGTATTTATTTGGAAGATCTATCTATTAGGAATTATTGTCTGAATGCTCTGCCATTACTGTATTTTTTCTTTTACTCTTTAAAGATCGTCCTTTGCCTTGTGGTTTCTAGCAGTTCATTAAATATTTTTTACACTCAAGTTTCCTTCTTTTGGCGATGCTCTGTTTTTGTTTAAAATGCAATCCTTTAAAGTTTTTATTTGCCCTCAAGCTATTTAGCCTGAATGTTGCTGCCGTTTAAAATTCCTTCCTCTAATGGGTTCTTTCCTCCATTAGTTCTTTCCCTCTCTCTGTGTGTGCGTTTTTCCACTCGCTCGTATTGTTTCCATTTCTCCATCCGTTCTATTCCCTGTCTTTTCTTTTCTTTGTTTTTTTTTTTTTGCTTTTGCCCCAGTGTTTCTATGAGAGCGAGAGAGGAAGTAAAGTGCCCGGCAGGAGAACTATTTGCTTGGGGGACTTAGTTTTTGTTACCTTTTGTGCGTATGGAGCGTTATCTACATGATTTTGCATGCCCAGCACTCTCAATCAGGATGAGAAACAGAGAACCCAAACAAACAGAGAGCCGGAGCAGAGCCGAGCAGAGCAGAGAGACATACAGCAGAGACAAAAAAAAAAAAGTAACGAGTGAGGCCACTCTGACACCGACTTAGTACTCAAGTGGCAAGGTTGGCATTCCATTCCATTCCTCTGCGTATCACACACACACACACACACATTGTGGCAGTGTGGCAGGCAGCATCACAGTATCGCGGCAGTCTAAGTTGTCTCGTGTCGTTGTCTAAGCTGCTGCCAGAAGCTGCCCCCAAGTAGCATGTAATTCATCTTATTCCCCAAAGACAACCCAGCGACAAAGGAGACACGGACGCTTGAGCTTACAATTCCGGCGGGTAAATTGCTCGCGCAGATGCCACCCGACGTGGCAGGAATGGATCCGGACGAAACCCGGAAGCGAAGGCGTAGGCGGCATACGCCGGAGGCCGTCTAAGGCGTTGCTGTCGTCGCGTTGTGCGTGTCTCCATTGGGACATAAATGCCATTTGGCCCTGCCCCATACCCCCGCCATCCCACCAAAAAACATCTCCTGGCCAGAGGGGCAGAGTTCTGGCAAGAGAGATGAGGCACGCGCCTCATTACGTGTCGAGTTCTGCACTCTGCCGCCTGCCGCCTGCTATCGTCCCCAATCTCCTTTTGACGCATAAAATGCGTAATGAATTTTAGATTTCATTTCAATGGCACAGAAAGAAGTTATGGCCACAGGCTCATCAGGGGGGGGGGCTTTCGGATTTGCTTTGGACATGCCTTGTCATTCTGCGGCGCCTCCGCCGCATCCCCTTGCTCTACTCTGCAACCCCGGCAAAGGAACGAACACTTTTATTTGCCCGTTAAGTGCGTGCAGATGAGCCCAATCATTTCAATGGCACAGAAAGAAGTTATGGCCACCGCCTCATCCCGGGGGGGGGGGTTCCGGTTTTGTTTTTCCCGCCCTTTTTTTCTTCCGCCCCTTCCCCCTCCCCCCCCCCCTTCCCCCCCCCCCCCCCCCCCATCCATCCCCTTTTCTTTTCCCTCTTTTTTTTTTGCCCGGAAATTTAGTCCAATGGGCTGCAAATAGTTTTAGGTGATCCCAAACAGGGTGTCACACCAGGCACTAGACACAGCGAGTGGGGAATGCAATGGAATGGAACAGAGTGCCAGCAGAGGAATAGTAGAATAAACTGGGATCGAAAAATTAATTATTATCAAAATTATGAATTAGGAATTGAAAATTAAATTACATAATATGAAAATATATGATGTAAATATATTTTATATTTAAATTAAATATATATAAATATAAATATATATAATATATAATTTAAATATAAATATATATAATATATAATTTAAATATATTTAATATATTAATTAAATTAAATTAAATGCTAGGAAAATATTTGGCTTAAATATATTTTATATTTAAAATAAATATATTTAATATTTCAAAAAATATATTTTATATTTAAATTAAATATATTTGCTTAACAAAACATTATTCCTCCTGCACTTAATTAAACATTAAATAAAAGTAAATGAAATGTTCTTAATGAAACGAAAGAGACTGCAATTTAACTAGAAATATATCATTATAGATGCTGGCAATAATAATAATCTCCACCCATAAGTAATCTTCAATTTGAAGCTCACTGTTTTCCCTTTATGCAAGTCTGAATGGAAGGCAAGAGAATAGTTCTCTGCCATTCACTGGAATGTTTCCAAGCGACTAGCTTTCTCTCTCACATCGAGATGGAAATAAATGAAACGGAATAAGGCAGGAGAGGACAACTTGTCTGTGCTGTCCGGCAACACTAAACACTAAATACATCCCGTCATCGATAACTCAGGGAAGCGCAGCGCAGCCTGGGCTGGGCTTGGCTTGGCTTATTTATCGCCAGTTGGTCGAAAGTTATCGATCAATTAAAGTTACATTTGCATGCCAGGCGACACATTTGTCACCGAAAAGAGGCAGAGCGAGAGACACAGAGACAGAGACAGAGGATGCGCTATCTGTGACGCCCTGAGCTTTGCTCTTGAACCGTAGCCGAACCGAACGACCAGCAGGCACCTCCTCCCCAGAGGGAAGCAAAACTTAACTATTCAAACAGCATTGAGCATAATTTTTCATTCAGGGTCGTTGGCTTGGGCTTGGGCTTGGTGGGGGTTTTTGGTTTTGGTTTTTGGCTCCGAAAAGTGCTGCGACGCTGCGGCTTCTTTTTTATTATCTTCTGCAGAGCAGAGCAGACAGACCTACCCTACCCTACCCTACCCTACCCCACAGACCTTGCCGCCCCATCTGGTGGTATCCATTCCGACCGCCTGTGGTCCAAACTGCAAACATAATTTTTCTTGCTTCTAATGCCAGATAAACGCAGACATGAAGTAAAATACATGGTGGCCAGAGCGACAGCCAAAAAAGGAGGCGAGGCGGAAAAAGAGCCTGAACTGAACGAACGAAGACGAAACCGAAAACCGAAAACCGAAGCCGAAACGGGCAAAAAGTTCCTTAACCCCAGAGTGTGGCACCACCACCCAGTGCACCCAGTAACAGTTCTATTCCCACACCAAACCGCACCACACCAGACCTCCCATCCTCCCATCATATTATTTCCAACATTTATTTGCCATGCGTAAATAAAAAAAAAAATACAAAAAATACAAAAAAAAAAGAAATAGTAGTAGTAGAAATATATATAGGTACATACATATATTTATATAGAGGGAGCAGCAGCAATTTTCAAAGGCAAAAGTGGTAAAGTAAAATGGAAAATGGCTTTTCCCACACACACACACACACACACACACACACACAGCATCATCCAGTCATCCAACCGATACCCCCTCCAACAGCCTCTCTCTCAATAATAAATGCAAAACTGCAACGGGCAAAGGAGAATTGCATTTTAGGTAAACATAGAGCCCCATAGTGCCAGAGCCCTGTAAAGTGGGTGTGGGTGTGAGTGGGGGGATAGGTGGAAGAGTACGTACTGCTGCGGGTTAAATGGGTGTGCTGGGGCGTGGGCATTGCGGGGTTAAGGCGTGTCCTGGCGCTTGTCCAATTGACGTAAATCGTGCGCAAGTTTTGGCAGCCAAAATGACTGCGGCTAAAGACATGGAGACGCGACAGAGTGAGAGAGGGAGAGATAGAGAGAGAGGTGGAAATGGTGGAAAGGTCAGCAAACTTGCAAACTTCAGGGATGCCATCAAAGTGATCGATAAACAATGCAACGAAAAGAATTTGTACACGTACAAAATGGATCAAAAAGAGAGCTGTTGAAAGAGGGGAAAGTGCATGTAACACTTACCCAATTGATCGATATGAAGATCGATAAATGAGAGTTGAAATTGAATTAATAATATATAATATATAAAAATAATCCGAGTAGGTTTCCACACTCAAGTCAAATGTGCGAAACCAGGCACAAACCAGTACAAGGCATACAAGCAAGTTGTATATTCGAAGCACTTAAAACTAATAACAACGTTTCGGAATAAATTATTTACAAAGTTTTCACCACAGCATGGATCCGCAAGAGAACTCCGAGATGGAGCAGACAAACGCAGAGGAGCCCGGCCCATCGTCGATGCTGATCAGAGCCAAGCCAAAGGTACGCATCATTGAGAATGGCAACTCAGAGGTACCGCCGGCCACGGCTGTGGCTCCGGCTGGCAATGCCAGCAGTGCCTTCCAATCGAGTGCCCTCATGGGTGGCAGCACAGTGACATGCAGCACAGTCAGCGCTGCTGCCAGCCCATCGATCTCTACGACCATTAATCAGACAATTGCATCAGAGCCGATGCCGATGCCCATGCCCACATTGCGCTTCGTTTTGCGCCATCCCGCCGCCGCCGCCTCACGACGTGTTAACTTTCACGTGGATGTGGTCGACAACGAGTTCATGAATCGTCGCAAGTCCAAGTGCTGTTGCATCTACCGCAAGCAGCACCCCTTCGGCGAGAGCTCCTCCGAGACGGATGACGAGTGCGAACACTGCTTCGGGCATCCCGAGGTACGGGCACTCAATCGCCAGAAGAAGATGATGGCCGCCTGTGGTTGCGGCTGCTGTGGAGGTCAAACTCGGGCGGCTGCCACAGAGGAGCCAAAGACTTGTGTGGTGTCAGAGGAGTCAGCGACTTCAGGGGTGTCAGAGGATCAAGCATTGCCAGAAGTGCAGCAGCAGCAACAGCAACAGCAGCAGAGTCTTCCAGCTGCTCCGCAGACCGCTGATGATCAGGATGGGGTGTCCCAAGAGATGGCAGACCTATCAGGGTTGCCAGAAGTCCCCGCAAAGCAGCAGCCACAGCAGAGTGGAGAGGACACACTGTCTTAGTCTTCTCCACAAAAACAAAACAAGAAACAACAAAAACAAACAGCAATTTGACTTCTGTTTCAATCTTAAGAAATTTAAAATTAAACCCAAATGATTTCCCCCAATTGCTTTTTCCTCTTTTTTTTTTCCGGTCTTCTTTTGCAACTTTTTCGCTCCATCAAGGCCATTCCAAAAGTTTCCACGGGGTGGGCAGCGTGCTGCAAAATGCTTTCCTGTTCCTGTCACTCAGTCACGGGGGCTGAAGCCGCAGAAAAGCACTGGCACACGCCCCCTTTTGAACAGTCACGCCTACAATACGTACGTATTGCAATAGCGATATCCTGTCGAATCCAACCAATCCCAGACCCGTGCCTGGGACCCCGCATCGTGTGTCTATTGATTGATTATGCGAACTGTCTGCGCGAACTTGTAACTAGATTAATGAACATTTCGCCTGGATGCAGTTCATCCTCCTGCAGGACTCCATCCCTACTCTTACTCCTCCTCCTACTCGTTCTACTCGTGCGTCAAGCCACTCGTGTCTGCAGTTGTCGTGTGGCACAATCCCTGCGTAACATTTTGTGTCTCTGGCCTGGCTCTTGCTCTGCTCTTTCCATTCATTGAGTGAGAAATTTCGGTGGCCCGGTGGCGAAGTGATGTTGCACCACCATATGGGGCAGGATTGGGGCAGGATTTGTGCAGTTTGTTAACCCCACTCCTCACCATTTCCAGCTGATGGGTTGATGTGGTTTTCGTGTCGCAATGGCAGTCCCAAATTCCAGCTGATGAAATTCTACATGCTATTTTTTTTTCTTTTCTGGTTTAAAACCCCAAGTATTTCCTTTAGTTTTAGTTCCATTTTAAGCACTCTTCCTGCCATTCTTGTTGTGCCCCTTTTTTTTCAGTAGCATCCAAGAGAAATATCCATCCGGTTGCCAGCACTTCGAACGGGTGGCCAAATGAAGCTGCGGCGCTGTACCACAATGAGCAGCGGGGCAGAGACTATGACGTCGAGAAGGTTATGCAATTCCTGGCAAAAAGGGCGAACAAACAAAAAAATCACAGCAACAAAATGGAGCGAAATATTTTTCTGTTTTGGTTTCTTTTCCTCATGTCAAACTTTGAACCCTTTTCGGTACACACAGAGAGAACAAAAAAACACTGGAAGTCGAATAATTACAAAAAGATTCACAAATTTATGCCAATCGATTTTCAGCGAGAGTGAAAACAATTAATTTAAATCTATTTCATACCTAAAAAAAATATATTTCATATTTAAATTATATATGTTTAAATTTAAGGGGTGTATTAAAAATTCTTTTAAATAATTTGATTTTTAAATTAAAATTTTATTCTACTTAATTTCACAATTTTAAGCAAAAAAAAAAAATTTAATATTATTGTTATGGCTGTGTGTTCTTTTTCTCTGAGTGCATATGTATTGTGTGTGTGTGTGTGTGTGTGTGTAAGTAAGAGTCACGTTAGTCGTTTTTTATGAGGTCTCTTGGCGCTTGATTCCGCGGCCCCAAACCGCATTTGAAGTGCTCGCCTCCGCAGCCAAAGGCAGAAAAAAAAAATACGCCAAAAAAAGAGTGGGCAGAGGGAAGAAAGATACAGATACATTTTGCATAACTCATATGTGTATGTACTACATCTGGTTCTGGTTCTACCACACAGCCACATATATCATATATGTGCCACGAGTACGGGGTGATGGATGGGGGCCATGGGGGGCTGCTGGGATGGTTGGCATTTTTTAACTTGGTCAATGGGTCGACGTCAACGAAGCTGAATGTTTTCTCCGCCTTTCATACTATTTACTTTCCATTTTTTTTTGTGTTTTGCTGTTGCTGTTGCCATTTGCTCATTTCTCTGTTTCAATTTTTGGATGCAATGAAAAGTGTGGCGCAGGCACTGGGCATAGCCTTTGGAAAATTTTTCCTTCTCCTTGAATGACTAAGTTTCGGTCGATTCGGTCAGCGCGGAGCGGAACGGCTTTCACCCATCGAAATGTCAAGTGAAAAAGTCTTTAGAAAGAGTTTTTGAGCTTCTGAATAAAGATCACATTTTGTTCCTATACTTAGCAACTAGCTTTATATTATCTCAACTACAATGTCGCTGAAGGAAAACATCTAAGCCGTAAAGCTCTCGCACATCCTGTATATTATCGAGAAACCAAATCAAGTGCCACTTGTAGACCATGAAATAAAGATAACCTTAAAGTCTAAGCCCATAAAATCCAACGAAATTAGCTCGAAATGTGTGCCTTATGCTGATACCCCTCCTTTCATTGGTTGCGGTTTATCCCACCCTTAAATCCACAAATAACACCCAGATATACAGATCTTAGAGCTGTCCTCCAGAGCTCTTTGGTATGCACAGTATTCACACAGTTCACTTGGAAATCCCTAGACTTCAATTCAATCACAACCTGCAATTAAAATTTTAGCTCGATGATGCCAAGGGGCAGGCGCAGGGGCTGGGGGTTTCATTCTCTCCTGTTGGCCATAACACCAGAATAGCTTTGAGGTCAGCAATAAACAATTTGCGAGCAATTCCACAAAAATATTGTGGTCAAATGTGGGTAAAATGGGCCACAAGCAAAGGGACCGAAACTCGAAGGACACAAAATGAACCACAATTAAAATGGGGAATGGGGCATGGTGAATGGGAAATGGGGAACGCGGATGGTGGAGGTAGGAAGGGAATGGGGAATGTGAATGGGAGAAACTCTACGCTTGGGTTCGGTTCCTCTGCCCCAGACACAAATAATGAGGCGAACCACAACAATTACAGCAAACAAACAAATCTGAAAAAATAAAAAAAGCAATTGAGGAAAAGCTGTGGAAAACACTCTGTCCCTGTCTCTCTGTGTGTGTGTGTCTTTGTGTGTGTGTGTGTGTAAATGTTGTGAAATGTGCCAAAGTGAATAATTTCTTTTTAATTTCCACTTAAGTGACTTTTAAATGTTTCACACAGCCAACAAAATAAAAATAAAAATAAAAAAGAGACTCAAACGAGAGAGGGAGGGCCTCAAAGAGATGGCGGAACGGGTAGGGTAAGGAAGTCAAGGTACTTATGGAAATGGGTGAAAATGTGTGGTGGGGGGAAATGGTTAACAAGGGAACCGAGCGGACTGTGAATGATGGAAGGCAGACGACACGTCACTTTGACGCACTCTGGTGTTGAAAATTGGCAGCCCAAAGAGGGTAGAGGGTGCATTAAGGGTCAGAGTTGGTCAGAGAGGGGGCGCGGCGGGTCAAAGAATGGTGGCTGTAGGCGTGGCATGTGTTGAATCTGTTGACTGAGAGTGATATGTACTCAAGGACTCAAGCTATGGGTAGTTTTTGCTCTTTACTCGTTGCTTTACTCGTTGCTTTACTCGTTGATTGTTCTCGTTAGATATCTTCACCTATCTTTTGTGTCGTTTGTTTGCTCTGTATTCTATATATTGCTACTTATTATATCTTTCGGTATCTGTGTCATCTCCTATCCTTCCTTCGACTCAAAAATAAAGAACTTCCATCAGCTTTTTCCCACATTTATCTCCCAAATTTGTACGCGTCATTCTTGCACCTTTTCCCTTGGTACTTGCCTTGTTCTTTCATGCTTTTCCATATCGCTTATGTAATTGACTTCATTGCCAACAATCGATTCAAGTACAAAAGCATTCAGACCACACAGAAAGGCAGGCCGCTCTTTGTACGTAGTCATACTCGATACTCCCTGCCTCCATTTTCTTATTGCTTTCTGCATTTTTCTTTTCTTTTTTGTCTTCTTATTTATGGCTCACATTTTGAAGGCTCTTCAACAATTTTTGAGCATCGAAATGAATCCCACTTGAGAACGCACAGAGAACAGAACAGAACCGAACAAAAAAAAAGAGATGTGAAAGTGATATGCAAATGGGGGAGGAAAAAAAAAGCAGAATAAGGACAACAGTGTAGCAAAAGCATTGACAGCTCTGAGTCAGGTTTGGGGTTGGGGTTGGGCGGTCCTGGCGCTGAGTCAGCAAACATTTTTTAGCGCCCGAAAAAAAATGCTGCATAAATGGCAGGATGATGGTCGCAAAATGCTACAAAATGTTACAATACAATTTCAATTCATTTCGGTAAACAATTTTGTATGGAAAAAAGTCAATGCATTAGTCCTTACAATAAGCAACCGAAGGGACTTTCATTTTATTCACGTGGCAAATCGTATACATTGCTGCTCGGGATTCCATAGATTTCCAGCAGTTTTTGATAAAGATTTCAATGGCCTAAGCTGGTCTATCGAGCCTCCTAAAACCATTGCGTATACGCAATGAGCACATCATCATTGATCGCATTCTCTTCTTGAATATTGCACCAATCCGTTAAACAAAATAATCTGCACACATCTGCTGTAATTAAGAGAACTTTATCCGTATATCCGCATTACGCATACGCAAAGTATGCCGGCCAGAATTCCTCAAGGAAAAAGGAAGACATGAAAGCAAAGCCGATAACACAAATATATAATAATAAAGACAGCAATAAAAATTGACTTCTCTCGTATAAGTGGGGGATGTTTGAACCCTGTTGTCAGAGCCCCACTCACCCCCGTTTTGACCAACACAAATCATGTGAATCACCAGAAACAACAGCCACAACACACACACTCGCACACACACTCACATACACATTCCCCTGCAAGGGTAGGTCATTTTTACGCTGATGATGTCTATGACATTATCAGCAAAATTTATTAAATGACAGACACATAAATATATAATATATTAGGCCATAAATATGTGGGGGACCGTGACCGTGGGGATGGTTGGCACCCGAAAGGGAGGGCTTAAATAGAGCACGTTGCAGGAGCAAAACAAAAACAAAAACAATGTAGACCCAGCAGATATCCTGGGCAACTAGAAATTGTTGAATTTCTCAAAATTTTAATATTTTACATATCAGCTGTACATTGATAAATTTATCTGGATAATTATTCAGCTCATATCATAGATCCATTATGGGAAGAATATTTATAGCTGTAATGATTATAATCATGCAAGAATATATCAAAAATCATGGTGCCCAACCTTGGTATTCAACGCCATTCATCATCTCTGTGGACTAATTGCTTTCCCTGTCATG